TAGAAAAAAATCCTAAATATTTCTGGTCATATGTTAAACGTAAATCAAAAACTCACTCTATTCCCAGTAGTCTCAATTTAGGTAGTGTAATCTACAACACAGGTCAGTCTATTAGTGACGCGTTTGCAACTTATTTCAAGTCAAATTTTTTATACCAGGGCGCTCAATCAACTCTTCCAAATATTTCTAATGTGGCATCAACATCAACCGCAAATATATCAAAAATAGAAGTTAACCCTAAATACGTATGTCGGTTGTTGAAAGCTCTTGATCCATCTAAATCTGCTGGACCTGATAATCTACCAGCCATTTTTCTTATTAATTGTGCAAAGACGATAGCACTACCAATAAGTTTGCTATTTCGTAAATCGTTGGATGAATGCTCAGTTCCTAATATTTGGAAACGTGCATATATCACCCCTGTGCACAAGAAGAGTCTTAGGACTGATGTCACTAATTATAGGCCAATTTCTAAGTTGTGCATTATTTCCAAAGTCTTTGAAAAGTTGGTTTATGAGCAGGTGTATCCGTTACTCAAACAAAGCATAAGCCAGTCTCAACATGGTTTCTTCAAGGGTAGATCCACCGTTTCCAACTTGGTGCTTTTTAATTCATTCTTGACTAAAGCCATGAATGATGGTCATCAAGTTGACGTTGTTTATACAGATTATAGTAAAGCTTTCGACCGGATTGAACATAATTTGCTTTTAAAAAAACTTCAGTATGTTGGTATCTGTGGAGACCTACTGCGGTGGTTCTCCTCTTATATCGACAATCGCTCGCAAGCTGTAGTTGTTAACAATTATATATCAGGTTGGGTGTCAATACCAAGTGGCGTACCACAGGGGTCCTTACTGGGACCGTTGCTATTTCTGATATTTGTTAACGATATTGAAACCTGTTTTAAATCATCACACCTACTGTGTTTTGCTGATGATATGAAAATATTTTCCACAGTCTCATCGCAGGCTGATGCTGAATTAATGCAGGAAGATCTACTAAGATTGGAGGAATACTGTACTATTAATAAGCTTGAACTAAATCCGTCAAAATGTACCCTCATTACATATTCACGCAAGCGAAACTTAATTCATTTCGGCTATCACCTTAAAGGTCAGAAGCTACAAAAACAATCAGTTGTACGTGATCTAGGGATTTTCTACGACTCTAAGTTATTATTCAACAACCATGTTGACAATATCATAGCTAGGGCATCTAAGGCGTTAGGTTTTGTCATGCGTACTGCTAAGGAGTTTAATAACATTAAAACAATTAAAATATTGTACTGCACTTACGTCCGCAGTACGCTTGAATACGCTTCGCAAGTCTGGAATCCAATGTATGATACATACATTTCACGGATTGAAAGTATTCAACGTAAATTCATACGATATCTTTGCTATCGTACCCATAGAAAATACCGTTCAGAAGACTATATATCCTTATGCAAACAACATCATCTGTTACCTTTGATGAAGCGTCGGGAGATTGCTGACATTGTATTTTTATTGAAAATTTGTTCTGGCAATGTCGACTGCTCAGATCTGCTATCGCAAATATCACTGAGAACACCTACGGTTAACCTTAGAACGAATGCATTACTCTACTTACCAGCTTCATCAACTAATTACGGAAAAAATACTTTCTTATATCGGTCTAGTAATATTTTTAATAATCTGTGCAAAAAGCATGATTTTGATTTGTTTAATACTAGCTATGTATCGGCAAGGCGGGCATTAAGTCGAGATTTTTTTTGTGTCGTAATTTAATTTACTTTAAGAACAATTATGTTGTGCGTTTACCCTGCTTTTATTTTCCTTTATGGCTATTATTATTAGTTTCACTTATTAAATGTATGATGTTGTGCATTTAAATTAGACTCCATTTGTTGCTCATAATTGTGCTATGACCTTTAAACGACGAAAGATTATGTTAGTGTATTTCTATTAGTGAGAACCTGTTATTGGCTTCTTGTAAATTTAACATGTTGTTTATTTAAGATTTGTAAGCTGTTGGTTTTCCATTACATAAAAATAAAAAATAAAATAAAAAACCCTATTTTTGATTTATATAAATGACCTTTGCAATTTCGAACTTAACTCAGGTAAAATAATATCTTACGCAGATGATATCGTGCTCCTTTTTTCTGCAAATACAATAGACAAAATTTATTTATATTATTATATTATTTATTTTGGTTATGATAGGGTTAATAAATGGCTCCAACAAAACATATTAACACTAAATACGAACAAAACCAATTATATTTATTTTTCTATCCGCAGTTCAACCAAGTATATAATCATTCCAGAAATTTGTGCACATAAATATTGCTCAGTAGCGGAGTCCAAATATCTAAATGAGTTATTTTTAATACAAAAGCTATTAAGTACCTTGGAATAATTATCCATTCTACGTTTATATTTAAAAACGATATAAACCACCTATGCAGTAGAGTCCATAAACTAATGTTTGTTTTTAAAAAGATTCGTTCTTTTGCTGATATTAAGGTAGTAAAGCAAGTATATTTTGCATTATGTCAATCAAATCTCACCTATTGTATAACCTCATGGGGAGTAGCAGCTAAAACTACACTGCTACCACTGTAACGCGTTCAAAGAGCTGTGTTAAAAATCACAACATTTCGCCCTATTCTATTCCCGTCCAACGTCTTATATAAATGCTATAACGCCTTTTCAGTGCGCCAGTTATTCGTTATGAGAACGTTACTAAAACAGCACTTAAAATTGCCCTATAGAAGAGAGGTCACTGATAAAAGACGCAAAAATAAAGTAATTGAAACTACAATTAGTATAAGCTATTCTTTCATTTACATTCCTTGGCCCTTTTCTGTATAATCAAATCAATGCAATTGTGTACCATCCATTAAAAATGGCAGACTGTAAAAATGTAATTCGAACATGGTTACAAAATTTGTCTCATACTATAATACGGAGAAGTTGCTGATTGTTTTAAGTTAATATCATAAGTAATTAGTGATAATACATTTTACCGAAATAACCCTAATTTGTTAGTATGTTATTCATTTTATATAAGAAATAGAAAATATTAATTAATGTATCTTTTAGCACATACACCTGAGATACAGTTTTATCCTAGTTCAGGTGCCTGTTACTGTAGACTATTTTTAAATGACATTATTGGAATTATTTGTACATTTTATTGAAATAATAATTATCATTATATCGCTATATAGTACATTATTGATGAGTATTCTGAAATACTGTCCTCAAGTCTGGAATCCATTTTACGAAGTGCACAAGAACCGTATTGAAAAAAATTCAAAAGCGATTTTTGTGGTTTTTATGTCACCACACAAAGAAATCATATTTATCGAATTCATATAATAACAAACTTAAATGTTTTAAAACGACAACACTCAACAATAGAAGGAAAACACTAGATCTTATTTTCTTGCATAAACATTTAGACTGCCCGCAACTTCTAAATAAAGTTAATATATCTGTACCTAATAAGTTACCCCGCTTTAAGTTTTACAAGCTGTTCAAAGAACGTCGCTGTAAAAGTAATTTTGGTCGCAACTCCCCACTTACCAGAATGATGTTATTATACAACCGTATACCAAATGCAGTAGAAATAGATATAATGTCATACACTGTTGTTTAGATTTAAGTATTTTATTATATATAATTAGTATATATAAAATTTTCGGAAATACGTAATAAATTTATTAGATTATGGTGGGTATCTATATAGTTATCTCATCTGGTTGGATTCTATAAATATATAATTATAAATGAAATTAAAGGATAAGTATACATAAATATCAATAAAATAAAATAAATATAAAAATAAATAAATAAATAAAAGCCCAACCAGATGGAGGCCCTCGGCAGGGGAGACCAAACGGCCGAGGGTTAGGGGGAAAGGGAAAGAAACCGGCAGACGATGCGGGCGGTATCGAGGAGAACCCCCTTCTACATTTGAGTCTGGAGCGGTCCGCCACGTAGTCCCAGCCGCCTCAGATGACCCGAGACGCTGACTGGGATTAGCCTGCTTGCAAAGACGACTACAGAATTTATTAATATTATATAGACTTTAAGCATTAAATCCACAAACTGTAGCAATAACAAATTTGTTTTTCCATGTATACTTATTTGGATATTATTATGTTTTCCATTCTTTATAAAAAAATCACTTCGCTATATAGGTAAGTTGTGGTTACCTGTAAGAAGATAAACACAAATCATGTAGTTGCAATATTGAATTATATTTTTGTTCGTATTCTGTATCATCTGTTGGTGAACCAAATAAGAGAAAAAAGGAAAAAAAGACATTTGATTACAAACTTTCTGAAGGCCGCACGTTGCTTTAGTTCGTATTATAGAGGGTTAATACTTCGGCCGTGGAAAAGGAGAGATTTCCAGCCTGCTATGGCCCGGTGAGCGATCAATGCTCCGTAGTACGGAGTATAGAGCTTGTACTATATAATAGTCGTGAGAAAACTTCGATAGCCTGATTTAGGCTTGTGGTGCGATAAAAGAGCCGATTCTCACTTATATCCCCATTTATCGGCGTGGACGGGGACCATGTGTAATTCTATCATACTTTTCAAGCATTTCACGTTTTGGTTTTAAACATCTAGGTACACCTTAGATCTAAGCATCTAGTCATAACATATTTAAAGAAATCTTTAAGAAATCATAAAGTTCTTGCTAGTTTATAGGTCAAGCGCGAATATTTCACATTAAATGAGCAGCAAGAGTTTAATTCTCGCATATTTTTTTAAAATTCTGGTTTTCCATGTATTGGGTTGTGATTGATAACAGAATGAGGAAACCTACAATCTGAAAAAATATATATCGAGAAATGTGATGAAGTGAAGCTGAAGCTACTGGGAGCTTTAAGTTGCAACTTTATTTTTAACTTTTATGCCATGTCTTCTTAAAGTTCTAAGTCTTCCTAGCGGAGTGACGTATTTAGGCTGTGTATTAAGTTTTTTACTGTAAGATAGTTACCTGAATGACATTAAACAAGCGGTTATTAGGCGGTGCTACAAGGTTGAAGCTACCGAGGCAGAAGGCACCGCGTCGATTCGCAAGGCACTTCTCGTAGTCATCCAGCTGAAACAGCTTTGGCATCTGATGGTACTGCTCATCTAAAAGGTAAGAGCATTTTATATATATATATATATATATATATATATATATATATATATATATATATGTATGTATGTTGATATATAGAATAGTTCAAAATATGTGCATATTAAGTACAAAGTTAAACAGAACATATGTTATGCAATAATTCTATTGGTGTGCGCTACTATTATACCCAGGAGCCTAGTCACCTGCGCAGGACAAGAATATAGTCCCCCAGTGTATAAAGTAAAATTAAAGTAAAGTTACAGCCTATATACGTCCCACTGCTGGGCACAGGCCTCCTCTCATTTCTGAGAGGGTTTTAGGGCTAGGCTAGGCTAATGTCCGCCGCGCTGCCCCAGTGCGTGTTGGCGAACTTCACATGTCTTCGAAATATTTTTTTTCTTATTTCTCAGACATGCAGGTTTCCTCACGATGTTTTCCTTCACTGCCGAGCACGTGGTAAATCAGTATTTAAAATTGCAATTAACAATTTCATTAGTGCCGGCAGGGATCGAACCCGGTGTGCTCGCGTATTGTGAAATTTACAGCGAGCGCTAACCATCTGAGCTACCACCCAGTTTTTCTCTCATAGTTCGTATGGGCCGGATCAAACCGGGGTGGTGACACGACCTTACAGATAACCAGCGTGAAGTAGAAGCTCTGCTTCTGCATTTTGTCTGGTGAGTGCAGGTGGCCGGAGGCCCAAATTCCCCTCCACCCCCCCCCCCCCCTAACATGGTAGCGGAGTTTAATAAAACACTGCCACAGGAGGGTACCATCACCCCCAGTGACGGAGAATCCCTCGTTGAGCATCCACGCCCAAGCTACCCTACTCTTCCTGAGCGTGGGTACTCAGGCTGCTCTACGTATTCTGGGGGGAGGGAAGACAACATTCTACTCGAGACTAAGCCTACTCGGGGCCAACGGAAAAATAAGTCAAAGGCAACCCCTGCAACGCTATCCGTGAATTTCTGGGGCAGTCCTTTGAATCCGCCTTTTGTGTATGTTTATGAAGGTGTATACAAAAAAGTGTAAATAACCGAATAAATAAGTTCTTACAATATTACGAAAAATCTAACTAGTTCCAGCGCTTTCCCCACTGTCGGTATCATAAACAAAAACCACAACACTTCCATCACAACAATCAGTGTTAAGGACTTGCTAACATCAAGAAAGCAAATGAAGAGCCATGTAGCCTGCCTCTTAATTTATACGTAAAATTAAATCTTACTTGTCAGCTAGTTTTCCGCTACAACTATTCATTGTTTTATATATATATATATATATATATAAAATGCTTTGTCCTGAATGACTGACTAATGTATCAACGCACAGCCTAAACCGCTGATCGTAGAGACTCGAAACTTGGAGGGTGTGTTCTTTGTATAACATAGGTATCCGATAAGAAAGGATTTTCCAAAATTCTACCCCTAAGGTAGTGAATAACGAGGGCAAAGTTTTTATTGGTCAACGTGATACCTTGTCCAATCTACTTCAAATTTTGCGTAGACATTCTTTAACAGAAATGATGCAAGACGTGTTTCGTATTTTATTGAAACTCATCACTTAACGGGATCCAAAACGGTAAGAAAATTATTTTGGGGATGGTTTGCATTTTATTTTGAGACATGTTCGTCCCGCGTTTGTTCGGCATAAATTGGTAGAAAAAAGTTTATAAAAATGGGCCCCGCGCTGATGTGCTCTGGTAAGTACGTACCCTATAATTTATATTGTCAGTTATATCCATAAAGTCATATCTATTGTGACTTAGATCATAAAACATCATTACCTCGAGAATTATACGCTTTGGTTTAAGAGTGGTAAGATTATATTTTGCCATGAGTTCATTAAACGGTTTTGTTTGGCATATTTATAATAGATACATATAAAAATTTCTTCAGAACAATTTCTAGTTTATCTATATATTTGTGTATAGAGGATTTCAAATAGTCACTGCATATTCTAAATGACATCTTATTAAGGATTTATAAAGATGTAAGTAGGTCTAGGGATTTTTAAACACATTACCAGATCGGATGACAAAACCATACATCTTATAAGCTTTGTGAATAATATTTTTAATATGTATACCTAGATATAGTTTAGATCATGTTTAGATTATATCGTTTAGTTGATGTTTGAAAACTCAAAACGTTGAACTCACATAAAAGCTTGGTGCAACGCAACACTCTTTAAAATTTTAATGTCAAATATAAAGGAATATTTAAATCGGATTAGAATTCGAAATTTGAATTTTATTTGTTCTTCGATTATTTGAATGACAAACTTACCTTATACAAAGAATATATACACTACGCGAAGCTTATACCCAATGATTTCAAAAGGAAGGATAGGCCCATCTAAATATTTTACTCAAAACTTTTCATAGGTACAAGAAAAAGTAGCGCATATGTCATAATACAAACGTCATACCATAACACGACGTAACCAGGGTCGGATTTCGTAGTATAATTATTATCCTAATTGTACCATTATTCCATAGTTTGTAGTATGTAGTACCGTAATAATACTAAGGGAAAATACCACAATTTTACCTAAAGGTCGATTTTTATTATCATTGGGTCCTTTTACTTTTTAATATTAACCCTGCGATATCGAAAACTTCTATATTGTACGTGAGTACCGCGTTTTTAAAAAAAATTAGAATTAGCTCCCTTTCTGGTCAATCGAGAGCCGTGGTAGCTCAGGTGGTAACACTCGCTGTAAAATATAACAGAACGCGAGTAACCCGGGTTCGATCCCCGCCGGCACCAATAAAAATGTTAATTGCAATTTTTTAATTAAAAAAAATAACAATTAGGTGAATTGCAATTTTAAAAGCTGATTTACCACGTGCTCGGCGATGAAGGAAAACATCGTGTGGTAACCTACATGTCTGAGGAATAAGAAAAAAAAATATTTCTAAGACGTGCGAACCCTCTCAGAAATGAGTGGAGGCCTGTGCCCAGCAGTGGGACTTATATAGGCTGTAACTTTACTTTACTTACTTTTGTGGTCAATCGGTGCTCAATCGATGCATTTATGTTGCATCCTTGATACAACTATAATGAGGGTCTACCGCGATAAAAACTCTAAGCTCTAAACATTCGGTTTGAAAATAGAATTTCAAAATATTTTATGAATCTGATTTTCAGATTCAATTAAGCAGATATGGTTTCTTTTGTACTCTTTTCGTTTTACCCTTATTGAATATAAAATATATTAGGTATCAATATTCAAAATTTAACTTACACTAAGTTCTTTAGAAAAAAATTAAACAGAAATAAAAATAAAACCGGCAATAAACGAAACTTATAGATAAACTAAATGCGTGACGCCAAAATCCCGGCACATGGGAAAAAAGAAACATGAGACGTCAAACGCGATATAATTTTTGAAAAATAGTATACCTAATTTTATTTTCCATGTACAATATTTTTGAGGGTCTGAATCCAACCCTGGCCTAATCTTGGTAACATAACTAAACTAACTGTAAAATAAAACTTTTAAAATGCGTTTATATATTAATTTAATATTAACAAAATGAATATAAAGTTATTTTACCGATGATACGATATCCCATGTTCGTATTCAATCTTTGTATCGTAATTTTTGCACCCTTTTACCACGCAACTGGACATATTTATGACAGGCAAATCTGTCTTGCGCGCGCACCACTGTCGACCGAGTTGCGTTGGCCCTAAACTGTAATTTTAGGGCCAGCGCCCGGTCCTTACGCTAGTAATATATAAGTCAATGCTTATACCTTGATTTTCCTTCATAAATTCCTTGCAAATCTCTTAGATTACGACTACTACTAGTCGCTTAGATACCTACTTAGCGAATGTAGTTGATTTAATTTGTTTTTTTGATAATTAAAAAAGATTCTTTGAGTTTGATTTGTTAGTGTATATTATAGGTTTGTATTTTTAAAATATCTATGTTCAATTTGTCGTATATAATAATATAGTTTTCTTTTTGTTTTAATTTTAATATTTAATTACTTTGTAGTTTGACTTAGAAGCTTAATTTAGTGTGTATTGTTTTTCGCAATTTTCTTATATTTATAAATTTTTCTATGTCTATTTTTAAAATGGGAGCAGAATTGGTTAACATCAATGGGAAATTAATTATTGTACCAATATTGAGTGATGACGTATTCCTTTTCCGTACGATTTCTTATTTCTTATACGGCACAAAAGAACGCTCAATGCATATTCGTCAAGAAACTGTGTGTCATATGACAAACAATTGAGATGAACTTACTGTTATGTCTCATGACTGTCGTAGCAACAATCAAGGGACAAAGGAAAAGTATACATCAGATAGTATACAACACTCTACATACGAGTACGTTGGTTTCTGCGAGTTAGTTGCAGCCGGTCAAATATACCCATTTGTATTTGAAGTGTATCAAAACGGCAACCTATATGCCAAATTTGGTTCAGAAGACCAACTCACTAATAAAAATAGGCTGAAACAGGCCGTTCACACCAGCGTCCATGTCGGGTACGCACAGCTACAAGGTTATCAGATTTCTGGTTTGTTTGCTTAAACCTAATGATTATATTACGATTTAGGGATAGGTTCTGAGATCTGCCATCAGAATATATTTATTGTTGTTGTTATTGAATATGTTAATAAATATTCGAACGTAGCAATGCTATAACCATAGTTATTGCAATTTACGTAAGATATAAGCGATTAACATGGCGGTATAAGCAAGGCGAAGCGAAACACACGTTGGCTATCCTTTACTCGCAAACGAGTGATTATTGCGTATCAGCACCACCGAATTTCTAGCCTTCCCGTACGCGTTCGATCGTTGTCGCTGACAAAATTTATAGTAAACACACCTGAAATGCACTGTTGATTGAAAACAAAATGCTATGAGTTAACTGAACACAGCAGAGGAACAATTTTGTACATGTACAACTATGTAGAAACACAAAACAAGAGTGATTATATAGATTTAAAAAGAAACTTAACATTTCATCTAGAATAATTTTTTAAAGATTTTACTGAACGTTGGCAGTACATAAATAGTTCTAAACTTAGCGGGGTCTAATATACTGCCAGATTTAAATAAAGGTACAACTTTACTTTTCATTAAATAAAGAAAAACACCTGATTCGATACTAGCATTGTAAATAGTAATAAGTTGGGGTGCGATCTCATCTTGCAGACGCAATGGATATTTAATGGAAATCGCCCATAGATCTGCTGTTTTCTTAATATCAATAGTTTTGAAATATTTTGCAATATCATCTGATAATATTTTATGAAATGCAAATTCTTTTTTACAGACATTTATATTTCGTTTGAGTAATGACACGGCGACAGTATAAGAGGAATTGAATGACTTTGTAGTCAAGATCGGAATGTCGGTAAAATATTGTTCAAAATTCGTTGCAACATTATCATCTGATTTCGCTAAATTATTGTAAAAATTATATGGTGGAGCGACGAGCCTAAGGTTACCGAAGTCTAATTCCCCGGTCGAACCTTAAACCTATTACGCGAGATATTAACCAAAGTGGACTGTATATGCGAAATGCTTCTACGTTTACATAAAATGGCGACTATAGCACGCGGTTTCCCATACAATGCACTCGCTCTTCCCTAAAACGAACTATTATTTGCCAAATCTATGACAGGAATCCTGCTTGATTAGGAGAAAATGAAAATTGGAGCGGATTAACTATTAAACACAATTATATCAAGCAGGAACCAGTAGGAATGTTCACTCACCGGGGTGTTGCTTCTATGCGGCTTGGGCACTATGTTATGTTGCTGCGCTGCGACTTCTGGAAGACACTCTGGGTAGACTCTCTGGGACCCCAGAGATGCGTCGGGAGAGAGGCGGTGTGGTTCCAACGACGAGCGCGGCGGGAAGAGAGGCGGTGTGGTTCCAACGACGAGCGCGGCGGGAAGAGAGACGGTGTGGTTCCAACGACGAGCGCGGCGGGAAGAGAGACGGTGTGGTTCCAACGACGAGCGGGGCGGGAAGTGAGACGGTGTGGTTCCAACGACGAGCGCGGCGGGAAGAGAGACGGTGTGGTTCCAACGACGAGCGCGGCGGGAAGAGAGACGGTGTGGTTCCAATGACGAGCGCGGCGGGAAGAGAGACGGGGTGGTTCCAACGACGAGCGCGGCGGGAAGAGAGACGGTGTGGTTCCAACGACGAGCGCGGCGGGAAGAGAGTGCGCGTCGGCCGCGCGTGCCTTTTTATTCCTTCGGTTGCGATGATCGCGTAATATTCTAGAATCATCTTCTTTCCCCTCCCACCCCACCACCCCGATGTGTCGATAGGAGGGTATGAATGATATCGTTTGGAAAGGGATAAACGATTTGGCAAGCCTACCGTCAAATATAAATAAATACGAATGGTTTTCCGCGCAACCATTATATAAAAGTTTGAATTGTGTAGTATCTTAGTATCTTGCCAGTTTCGTTGTTCATTATACCCCAAGTCTTTTAATTTTAATAGAGGCAGTCTTAATATTGTTACTTAAATGTAAAGAAATTAAATATATTATAGTTATAATCTTTTAACCAACGTTCAGTTATACAAAAAATATGTATGTTGTTACTATGTAAAAACAATTCAATTTCAAATTTTTTGCCCATAATGCCTTATATATTTTCGTGCACCAGGTGTATACAATTTTTATAACATCATAGTCCGATTGGACAGTTGTTCGATACGACATGAGGGAGATCAGGTGCAGGATCGACGGCTTTACGTGCTTTACGGGCTTTACGTGGCTTTACGTGACAAGGGGGTAAAACACCGCTAGCTTTCCCAGAAAATCATAATAACTGATTTCGGCCCGATTCGGGATTCGAACCCAGGCCCTTATGATCAGCAACCGCGTTTACGACTACTAGACTAACGAGGCAGTCATTCGTATCCGACCTTTGTATCCCTTTTGTGAAGTTGTAAACAATAAAGTGTAACTAAATGAATAAATAAATTCCTACAACATTACGAAAATAAATAACTTACTTGATAACTCCAACGCTTTCCCAGCTTTAAGTATCACAAACAAAAACCACAACACTGCCATCGCAACCATAGAATATTATTGTATTCTATGATCACAATAGTATGTTCAATGTAAAGGTAAGGTATACGTCAAGTAAGTAAATGGAGAGCCGTGCAGCCAATCTCATAATATATAGGTAACTAAATCTTACTCGTTCTGATTACGTTTTTGTGCGCAATAACTACTCACTGTTAAACCGTTCATTGTTAACTAGATGTAATCTTGTGGTCAGCATCTTCCTGCATTTTTTATGATTGTTTTATGTGAGAATTATACAATTAATTTTTGTGGGCATTTTGGATAATTTAATTTATTATTATGATTGCTAGATATTGTCTCTATCGTCTCATCTTCTCATTTAAATTTCTTGTAACTGATTCCAAATTCAATGTAAAGCAATAAAAACTGCTACAATTTATTGTTTTTTTAATTATTTATTTTTATTTAAGAAATATTAATCTTTTATTTATATTTTAAAAGATTATGTATTTATTACAACGTTCAATTTATATTACAAAAATTATAATAAAGAACTTAAAACTAATTATGTACAATATAAAAGAAAAAACTATAATATAGAAAATCTAAAACTAAAAATTTAAATCGTCAAAAAGACCTGCTCTCCGTGGTATAGTGCCAAGAACGCTGGCTGCGTTCCCTCGCTGAAAAGCTATACTTAGCCTTTGAGAAAAGAAAGAACCAGCCCTCTTATCACCAGCAGCGACGACCAGCCGTGAATACAGTTGCTTTTGAAACTTCATTGCACGTGGACCCCACGGACCGATAGTCTCTACAGCAAATGGCACAAATATGTAGTCATTTCTCAAAGACTCATATTTGCGCCATTTACTAAATTCGGCTGCCTCTGATGCCGCCCCGGCTCTAAAAGAGGTACCCTTGAGATGAGAGGCCGCCAAAGTGTCAACGCAAGAAGCATCCCACACTAGGGCTTTATCTCTCTCCCAAGGGACCTAAAGTCATACCGTCGGGTCTCTTGCCATCGTCTCTAAATATCCCGCAAGGCTCTAAAACCGAGGGGATATTTATGGAGACAAGAGCCCTTCGGATGATTTCGTTCAAAGAACCGTGACGGGAAAACCTACCTGCACTTTTCTTGCATGAAAGTCCGTGGAGCCCAAACTCATCGACACTGCTGCCACAGGGGCACTGGTAAGGTAGACAAATTGCCACTCCTAGCCGGATTCCTACGGCGATGCACAAGCTTTTCCCATCAAGCAATGTGCCGAGATAACTTGATGGTAGAGCATGTAACCAGTGGCTAGATTCCTTAGTCGAAACAGCTAGAAGACAAGCCTTATCTTGTTGAATATGGAAATTTTGAATTAAATTTTTCTGGATACTCCGTACCAACGGAATATCCCACTGTTTTTGTTGGTTAACTTTCAGTGGGACATTTTTGCCGGGATAGAGCGTAGCCATGTGTGCTTTGCCTCCGCAGCAAAGCACAGGTGTACTTTATTATTTAAAATTGTATTACATAGATCATTGACATATGCACGGAAGCAAGGAAAGCAGGCAATGCGACGCTAGAAATATTTCTTACACCAATTCCACCAAATTTGATAGGTAAAGTGGCTTGATTCCAGGCTATTGTATTTAATTTCAAATTTAGAATGTTTTCTAAAGCAATTTTAAACTTACTATTAATATCTTTTAAAATATCCGAACATTTCCAGACTGGACTTGAGCGTAACAAGTATGTAAATTTAGGTACAAGGAGACAATATTTTAAAATGGTAAGGGCAATATGGGGGTTTAAAATAAATTTATAAACGTGACTTAAAAATTGATCAAATTTTGTTTTTAAAACAGGTTTAATACTATCGAAAAACAACGGAGCACCAAGCAGGTAAAGCGATTCCGAATTGACAGTTTTTATTCCTGGAGAAATCTGATTGAAATTTTGAATTAAGGTATCTCTGTTAGAATTAGATAAATTATTAGAAATAAATATTTAATATTTATTTGTATTTGGTTCAAGACCAATATTTTTTAAAATTTTGAAAAATATGAGTAAGATCATTGAGGACGTCATCTGCTTTACCTCCCAGTGTACCGTCGTCCAGATACCAGACATTCAGCTTGGATTTTAAATTTGAAATAATAGCTTGAATTCCCAAACTGAAAAGAGCTGGACCTAATGGATCACCCTGCTGAACACCGACAGTAGACTCAATAATATGGTTTTGATAAAACAAGTATGAATTTTGACTGTAACATTGCCAAACGTAATGATATATTTCGGGGGGTATTGTTAGCCACTTCTTTCAGCAGGGTTATCCTATCAATAGAGTTAAAAGCATTTCTATGATCAACCTTCAGAAGAACATTTGCATTGGAATTAGTTAAGAAAGTACGCACCGAATATACCGCCGCCTCACAGCAACCTTTGGTGCCAAAGCCTAGTTGAGTAGGTTGAAATTTTGTCTTAAGGTTTGAGATTATGTGCCTGCAAACTAATTTTGAAATTAAGCGTCGAAATGTAGAACCAACAACACAATCTTGCCCCATATAAGTAGGGAATGAAATTGGGTTCGACATTACCAGAAAGCATAAAATTACATAATTTTGTTGTCATTAAGAAGTACCCTACCGGCGTCACCGGCAGATACGCTTACAAGGTCTTTGAGATGCTGAGGCGTAATTCCCTCAAAACCGCCGGCAGAGCCATTCGAAAATGACAATATTGCGTCTAAAGTGTCTTTTTCGGAAACTTGTAATGATTGCATAGAAGTATTGGGAGGCAGCGGTAAATTCTGGGAAGGATTGACCGAAGGATGTTTCTGACGAAGGCCTTCAAGAGTTTCGACATTAGCAAGCAATTCGAGGAGCAAGTTTGTCATCTGTGAATAAAATACGAGATGCATTTTTTAAGTCGCCGTCCATTACTTTTGATTCAACTACTTTTTTAAATCAAATTTAGGATAGGGTCGAGAGAAATGAGTATTAATGGGGTAATTCAAATTTTGAAAAGAATTTTCTTTTAGTTGAGATGTAATTGATTTATTTATTGTTTTACTAAAATGAAAGTAGGATACGCGAATGTAAATAATTTTTGCCAACTTTTTTCACAATTCGTTAGACAATTTTGAATAGTTAATGATAATGCTTTAGCAAGTTGCATCCTCGCGCCTCTGGGAATTCTTTTAACCACTGGTATGTTACTATACAAATTGTATAATTGTTTCGAAAAAAGTGAAGAATTTGTGTCATATTATAGATATATTATCAGAAGAGTCATGAATTTCTACGGTGGGCTGTGAAGCCGAAATATTTTTACTATGGCATCGTTTAATGTGTATATTTAATCCCTTTTTACCTTTAAACAGCCTACCGTCGGTACAATTTTGACACCGTAGGAAATCCGACTGTGAATGTATTGGAGCGATAATATTCATAGAAAATGTAAAAAATTAAAAATGTAAAAATATATCTACAACACTCAAAAGTCTTTAATTTAGTATAAATCAAAATCTTGAAAATTAAAAAAAAACCTAGTTCTCGAGCTTTGTTTATAGCCTTAAAGCAATCTAATATTAATATTGTGTACGATGAATCACCAGGCGTTGCATCTTGAAGTGACCTACAACTATAACCGCTTACAGTAGATGGTTTCAAAGCTTCTTTTGGTGACAATCTCAATAAAACTCTCAAGCATCTCAATAAAAACGCGGCATTCGTTGTTTTCTTTCTTGGGATCAGTAGAAGTGTAGTGAACATTAATTTTGTTATTTTGACGTTGTTCTATTTTCTCATTTAATATTTCTTTAAAGTTCTCACTGGCATTAATGTTGCAAAATAAAATATATTCTTGGTGTATTCGGCCATCGTTACTTTCTTGTCATTACTTCAGGCAAACGAACTTGTAAATATATTATCACATATTCATTAATATTGAAATATATTATTTACATAAAACATTATTTTTCGGAATTTCAGGAATAAAATATAAATATATTTTAATTAAAATATTTGGTTAAAATATACGACAGTTTTCACCTGTCCTAAAATTTATTCATTTTGAGAAGGTAAATTTTGGCAATGTGTTTGCCAATGTGTTAATGATTATAATAGCTCAAATGGGATATTGGGCGGTCATGAAATCGTAGTACCCTGGTTCGAGTCCTGTCATCGGTTCGACTTTTTTTCCTTTTTTTTTCAAGCTACCCCGTATGTAAGGTATGTAAGGCCCCGGGCGAGGATGGAATTAAAACGGAGCTTCTGAAAGCGGGTGGAACACCGGTACTTGAAGTCCTTCAGAAGCTCTTCAATTCCGTCCTCCATGGTGGTACTACTCCGGAGGCGTGGAGCAGAAGCGCGGTGGTCTTGTTCTTTAAAAAGGCGACAACGCTCTCTTGAAGAACTACAGACCGATTTCCCTTCTGAGCCGCGTCTACGTGCTGTTTTCGAGAGTCATTACGAATCGTCTCGCATGCAGACTCGACGATTTCAGCCTCCCGAACAAGCCGGTTTCCGAAAAGGCTTCAGTACTATAGACCACATACGTACCCTGCGGCAGATTGTACAGAAGACCGAAGAGTACAATCTGCCACTATGTCTGGCATATGTGGACTATGAGAAAGTCTTTGATTCCGTCGAAATTTGGGCGGTGCTACAGTCCCTTCAGCGGTGCCAAGCTGACTGTCGATATATAGAAGTGCTGAAGTGTTTGTACAGTAGAGCTACGATGGCTATCCGAGTACAGAACCAGAGTTCAAAACCTATCCAACTGCAGAGAGGTGTAAGACAGGGTGATGTTATATCCCCCGAAACTTCACCGCTGCGTTGGAAGACGTTTTCAAGCTACTGGACTGAAAAGGATACGGTATTAGCATCAATGGCGAGTACATCACTCACCTTCGATTTTCCGACGATATAGTCCTTATGGCAGAATCGCTGGAGGACTTTGGCACTATGCTCAATGACGTCAATGGTGTCTCCCAACGGATAGGTCTTAAGATGAACATGGACAAAACAAAGATCATGTTTAATGTCCATGT